AATTTTAATTTTTTTTAATTTTTTTTAATTTTTTTTAATTTTTTTTAATTTTTTTTTATTAACCTAAGGGTTCAGCTTTCGAGGTCAGGTGGTCTGTTTTTCTTTTCTGGTCCTTTTTTTTCAGTATGTAACACCGTCTATGTTGCCTGGGGCTGATGAAGGAGAGTAAATTTGAGATAAAAAGGATTTTCCCCTTGCCTTAAGAGTGTAGAATGGAGAGGGAAAAAAAAAAGCAAAGGCGCTAAAAGCATAACTTAACGCAACTAACTGCACCTACAGAAAATAGTTAGCTTAGGAGTTCCCCCCAAAAAAGGGATGCTTTTTTACATTCCGGGGAGATTAGCCGGACAGCTGCTGGAAACTTTCGCGGAGATGCATGATACTTGAGGCTGATATGAGGGATAGTAGAAATAGGTAATAGTTGATCGTAAGAATAAGATCCAAAGTCATCTGATGATTGCATATTTCTTTTCCCCGATCCATTATACATGAAACTGCCTAGGGCCTAGTCCAACATCAATCAATTCAAATAGGTGGCATTGTTTGCCCGATTGGATCTGCAACCCTGACGGCCACCTACATACGTCAGTTTCCTTTCGGGATATCTGATTGCTCAGGTCTCAAGGGGGAAAAAGCAAAGATTATTCTGAGGGATCGGACAAAGGTATTTTGTTGACTCTTTACTCTGTCCCTCTCTCCGTCCCTCCGTCCCTCCAATCCCCTCATTGTCCATGTCATGATGCCACCCTAAACCGCATCCGACCCTGGTTGAGATGGGGACTATCCCCTACACTGCGAATGCGACGAAGATCCCTCCTAGATTTTGAAAAAAAAAAAATTAAAAAAAAAGGTGACATGTTCATACTTGTCTCGGGTCCGAGATGATCTGCCTACACCGCAACCTTATTGATATTTAACCTATGGAGTAGTACATGTCCAGATTCTTTGCGGTGGAGTACTCCGTGTACCTAATATAAACTGAATCCTGGCGTATCTTTAAATCGTCCACTCACCAACTAGATTGAACCCGAAACAAGATAGCATGATGCAATCTGCGGATGTACGACATGATGGAATCAGATCGTGAAAAATCAGACAAAAAAGAAGAAGCTCTCAAGGAATTAAGCCATTGGACCAATAGACTTGCGTGTGTGCTCGATGCTTCTTAGTAGATCGCAACCAGGCGCCTGACACGTTGATGAGACCAACCGGTCGCACAAAACACGAGGCTGGAACTGGGTTGGGACTTGGGACTTGGGACTTGAGACTTGGGGCATTTGCATTTGCAATGGGGCGCAAAAAGGGAACTATCTTAGGACCTGAAACAATCGCCGTACATATGTACACTACTACAATTTAGGTACTGTTCTGGAAACTTATTCCCCCGATGTCCGACCGCACGTAGAACCACCTGTTTCAGGTTAAGAGATCTTCAAACACGTCAGACGAAACTTGCATGAGTATCTAGTGATATCTAATATTAGAATCCCAAAGCTTCGAAAATCTTCCTCCAATTCCATGACATTCAACCATAACGAGGCTAAAGTCCCCAGCTGAAACGAACAGACTACTGCTAACCTACAGTGGATGTTTGATGTAGAGACTGGAAACCCCCCCT